GATCCTTCTGAAAGCTCTGTAGCTTGGGACCCGCCATCAGGGGTCAACCTGCAGATAGAGGGAAAGGGTGCTGGGCAGGGAGATGTGGATCCAGCCGGGCTTAGGGTTCAGCAGGACTCCAGTGGCCACTTCAGACAGATCTTCTCCCCTCCTGGGGCCCCGCTGTCCCTGCAGGCTCCCATCAACAACCCCGAGACCAGCAGCAGGTGGTATTTCTTTTGCGAAGGACCAATTCAGGAAAACCAAGAATATTAACAAGATCCTTTCTTTCCTCCTTCAAGAAATCATATCCTTGTTAATCAGGAAATGCCACGGCTGGCACAGCAGTTAAGCATCCTTCAATACGGTCCACTTGCCGAAGGGTGGGTTGTGGGTTATCATGTCAGGGCACTGATTGCAGCGCCGCTCGGAGCCAGGCTGTCAGCAAGCGGCTTCAAGGCTAGTTTGCATAGTCTCTGCTTGGCTGACCTTGTGCGCTATTGAACTGGAAAATGTGGTTTGTATTGTAAAGCCTCTTAATAATGTAATTTTTTTTGAAAGAAAAGATTTTTCCATTGCAAATGAGACACAGAACATGTATTTAGCACGAAGAACGCCTCAGTCTATTTTGAAACACAATTTTCATTAGACGGATTTTTTCACTGTAACAAGGATTTAAATTTATATTAAAAACAGCCTGACACACCCCCAACACATATTTATGTCTATTTCTTCCTAGAAGAAGATCTGGAAGGGGACTCAAACCACTAACAGTGGTTACTGCCCGTGGCTGGAGGGACAAAGGGCCACTTTGAGTCTCTGTATGGATTAGCGTTTGATATGTGAATTGTGGCCTAATGGGACATGTTCTGAGGTGATCTCGTCACTGTGTGAACGTCATTGTAATGTGCCTACACAGCGAAAGACCGCCCAGTAAACCTGGCCACATTGTTGTCAGGGCCTGCCACCACAGATGTTCGGTAGCGGTGACTGTGCGTTCAGAGACTGCAGGCGGGTCCCGCCGCCCAACTAAGTGTTATGGGCTGAATTGTGTCCCCAACCCACCCAAATTCACGTGTTGAAGTCCTAACCCCCAGGACCTCAGAATGGGACCTTGTTTGGAGATAGGGTCTTAACAGAGGTGATCAAATTAAAACGAGGCCATTGGGGTGGACCCTAATCCAATGTGACTAGTGTCCTGGTAGCTTTGGCTCCTCAGCCAGGCCACCTCAGCTGCTTCTCTACCTCAGCTCCCTAAGCTCCCGACCCCAGGGAGCTCCCAGTCTTACTTAAAGGAACCGGGTCCCTCAAAGGATGATTGGGGCAACGCTGTCTGCCCAGAGGCCTGAGGGCCCATGCTGACCGCCCCTGCTCAGCAAATCCTCACACCCAGCATGGCACATGCCCGAGGCTGGCAGAGGCGCACGAGTCCCCATAGCACCCTGAATAGCGGCCATGCACCTGGGCTGGGCCCCTAGTCCCCCTGGAGCCATGCTCCACGCCTGGTGCCCCTCCCACACCCGGCCCCTGCCCAGGACTTGCACCCTCTGATATTCCCTCACGGGATTCAGAAAACCCACTGGCACTCTTGAACCCTGGGGAGCGGAACTGGGTAGGAAAGCCCTGATGTCTGTGCTCAGGAGGATTGAGCACCGTCAGCGTTGCCTGGCCCTGGCTCTGCGGGCCACTCTGAGCAGTCTGCGCTTGGTGCTGGGAAGAGGGACGTGGGAGCACCAGGCCCGGACCAGGCTCAGGGACCAAAAGCTTGGAGAAGTGGGCTCAAGGCCACAATCGTACAGCTGTGAGCTCAGGGCTGGGGGCTGGCATGGGCTCAGCGTGACCAAAAAAACTGATGGCAGTTTAGAGAGCACTGAGCAAGGAGAACACGGCAGGAGAGGAATCCTGGGCGCAGAGTGGGCTTTTAGGACTTTGGAAGGGGAAGGGTCTCAGCAGGAGGCTTGATGGAGCCTTGACTAGGGAGAATGCACACTTTGAAATACCCTCACCCCAAACTCCGCTGCCTGTGCCTCTGAGCACCGGGTCTTTGTGAATTTCCTGCCTCTTCCTCCCTGGCTGTCTTTTCCAGCAAGGTGCTCTTGCACACCATATTTTTAGCCCTGTGTGTTCTTGGCTTTCTACAGGGGGCGGCTGATAGCACCTGTGCTTCAGCACTTGCTCCTGTCCCCCGACAGCTTGGCTAAGAGCCTCTATCAGGTGTGGCTGCATCACCCACTTTTCACCACTGGATAATATTCCGGGGTGTGAAGAAGCCGCGGGCTGCTTCCTGAGCCTCTGTCTCCAGGCGCTCGTCTGGGTGCAGCCTTGGCTGTCGTGAGCCGGCTGTGAAGGACCTTCCTGTCCTCATTGCCTGGTACACACTTTGCCAGCATCTGAGTCACCATCTCCTAATGAGTCGTGAAACCACATTAGCAGGACCCAAGTGGTACTTTTTCACACATGGAAGAAAAGAGGGTACTTGCAAGTGGTGGCTCCTAGGGAGAGCCAGCATTATTTCCTGGAAATTCTGTGCCCATCATATGCGAGTGTACTTGTGTACACCGCGTGAGTGTGCACATCAGGTGGTGGCATCAAATGTGCTTCTGACTGAGAATCACGGGGAATGTTCGTTAACCACCGTGCTCGTGCTGGGGACGTCTACGGAGTTGATTCACCAAAGTCGTTTTACAAAGTCACTAGCCCAGCTTATGCTCCGAGTGGCAGGGTTCCCCTGGATCCTCACCTACACTTGACTTTTGGGAATTCGTAACTTCTCCCTCTCCAAGGAGCACAAAGTATCACCTTGCTGGTCTTCCTTTGCATGCCCTGATGCTCACCAGGGGAAGTTTCTCTGCATCTTCCTTTGCGCTCCACTTTCGTCGGTGAGGTCCCATCTCCTGTCCCGTGCCAGTGTCCCTATGCGCCAGTCTGTCTTAAGGTCAGAGGTGCCTTTGCACGCCTGTCGGTTACCTTTCCCTGGCAGTGCGTGTGTGGCAGGCACCTTCCCGTTTGTGACATTTTCTTCTCATTCTTTTTGTGGGGTCCTTCGAGTAACAGAAGTTCCTAATTTTAATGTGGTCATATTTACCAAGTTGCCTTTCAATCCCTTTTGTAGTTTTTGCATTTTGTGTAAGAAATCCTTTACTCTCCGGAGATCATAAAACACTCCATATCTTCTAAAAGCTTTAGCACTTTACCTTTTATGTTAAGTCTTTGATCTTTGGAAATTGGTTCTGGGGTGTAGCTGAGGACGAAATTGACTTCTTGTTCTTCTCCAGGTGGACGGCCAATCCTCCCAGCCCTACTTATCAGGGGTCTTCCCTCTCTTTCCGCTCCCAGTAGCTGGCAGAAACTCCCTGAGTCAAGATCTGAGCTCAGTATTCCATTCTTTTGGTCAATTTGTTTATCTCTTTGCAAAATAAACAGCATTACAATTATTCAAATTTCCAATAGGTCTCGGTCTCTGATACAAGACACCCCTATATCTTATGTTCCTTCAGCTCCTGTTACCTTGGCTCTGTCCTATGTTTTATAGCCATCTTGTCAAGAACCCAAAAACATAAAATAAGGGGACCTGTTGGGATTCCAAATGGAATCCATCGTATCTGAATCAGTGGGTAGACAACAGATGTCTCTCAGTATGCTCTATGCAGGAATGTGCCTCTCTTGGTTTATCTACATCTTCTTTAATGTCTTTCAAAATTTTTCATGATCCCTGCTAAGCACACCCTGCTTATGTTGAGGAAGTATGTTCCTAGGGACCTCGAAGTCCTTATTGCTGCTGCAAGTGGTCTCTCCCCAGCTGCTGGTTGCTGCCAGGGAACATCCTTAGTTTGTGCACATCTTGCTAAATACAAATTATTACTAATAATTTTGTCTGTAGATGCTGAGTTTTTACACAGACAATCACATCATCTACAAATAGTGGTGATTTTGTCTCTTTTCTAATCTTTAAGCCTCTTATTTCTTTTTTGTGTTTCATTGCCAGGACCTTTGGTAAAATGCCGGAAGTAATTGGCATTCATTGTGATGACGATGTCCTTGTCTCATCCCTGGTCTTGAGTTTGGTTTTTCACCATTAAAAAAAATATCATCTACTGTAGGGATTTTTGATAATGCCTTTAATCAGCACAAGAACATATCAAACTATCTCTCTTTTGATGAGAGCTTTTGATTATGAATGGGTGCGGAATTTTATCAGATGTTCTTTCTGCATCTATGAATGGGTCTTTTAATCTGTGGACGTGGTGTCTGACATTCACAGATCCTTCTGACGGAAGCCATTCTTGCCTCACTGAGATAGACTCCACACAGACCTATGCATTATCTTTTTGTTACGTTTTGTCATAGTCTTCTTTATGCCATCTACTAAGTTTTTACTCAGGACTTATAGCAAGCAGGCCCTAAATAATATTGCTCTCATCTCGCTCTGTTTCTTCTTCCTCTCACTATCCTCAAGGACTTCAGGGTTCCTTTCCTACGGAGTCCTTTCCAAAGCCCAGAGGTGGCAGGGTGAGGAAAACCTAGGGGGGCAGTGCCTTCACAGGGATGGAAGTTTTGCAAACATTGAAAACAAAAGATATTCTAACATTTTTTTAATAGTTAACTTTATTTATTTTTTAAAGAGAGAGAGAGAGAATACTAATATTTATTTTTTAGTTTTCAGCAGACACAACATCTTTGTTTGTATGTGGTGCCGAGGATCCAACCTGGGATGCACGCATGCCAGGCGAGCGCGCTACCGCTTGAGCCACATCCCCAGCCCAGATATTCTAACATTAATCAGTGGAGACATCTCTTCCCACCACCCTGCTTTCCTGCTTCTGTCCCACTCCACTTTGTTTCTGCTTAACAAAGCCTTTGCTGCAAATTGGTGGCATGACCACAGGCTTTTGGGGGATCCAGTGTCAGAGGCAGTTGCGTGACAATTCTGTCGGTCACTGGGACCAGCGCGCGTGTTCTGCAGCCACTCCCTGTGGCTAACTTCTAAGGCTGCACCACGTCCCCTCCTTGGTGGCATGACGATGACTGTGGAGGAGTCAGTCCAGCTCCAGGAGGTGGAGGAGACACAGATGGAGCAGACGGACCAGAGCCCCACTGCAGCAAGCTGCCGCCCGTCTCACAACTCAGGGGGAAGAAACCTAACCGGTTTCCAAAACCTGGTAACAACCTCGAAACTCGAAACTCAACATTATAAAAAAACTCGTGGCATTATAAAAATGAGTTTGCGGGAACTAAAAAAAACACTCAATATCAATAACAAAAAAAAAAATAAATTGCAATCAACACAGGAAGAAGAGGACTGAATGGGCTTTCTCCTCTCGCCATTGAAAATGAAAAGCGAGGCTTTTGTCATATGAAAAGACAATCAGAGCGCAATCCAGAAAACGCAGGGACAACCATCAGAGTGAACTCAGGAGTGGCTGATTGTGAAAAATACTGTGGTATTTTTCCAGATTTTGCTATCTGTGATATTTGCCGGCTTATAAGACGTATAATTATGCTTTTCTTATTTTAAATAAATATTTGGGAGCTGAGGATGTTACTCAGTGATAGAGCACTTGCCCAGCATGCAGGATTCAATCCCTAGCACCACAAAAAAACAAGTAAGCCCAAAAGTATATAAAATATTTACATTTATGCCAAACATGAGTTTTAATATAATTTGCATTCTTTTCCTTGAGAGGGCTGGTCCTGCCCTTGGCAATGAGAACTCAGACTGAGTTGGGCATTGCTCCCTTTTTCTGCTCTCTGGAATCGTTCATGCAAACTTGAAGGGGTCTGTTTCTTTGAAGTTCAAAAGATCACTGCTCCTTTTGCTGTTCGCTTTGGTTTGGTTTCGGGTTTTGTTTATGTTTCTTGGAGGCATATTTTAAATCCCTACTCAATTTCTTCAGCAGTTATAGGACTCTCCAGGAAGACACAGGTAGATACAGATGTACATGTTAACAATAAAAAACAAACAAACAAAAAACCCTTTCTGCTGGACCTGTGGCTCCCTTCCCGACATTATTCATTTCTTCCCCAGACACCCACGCACACTCTTCTTCCCTCTGTCTTCTCATTGTCAGTCAGTCTCACCAGAGGGTTCTAGTTTATTAAGGTGTCAGAGCTTTGTTTTCTGTTTTATTAATATCTTCTTTTTTTCTTATTTCTTTTCTCTTCTTACTTTGAATTGATTTATTTTTTTCTTTCTCTGACTCCTTAAGTTAGAGTGACTGTCAGACTTTCTTCTTTTAAGCCCGTCTATAGGTTTACCTCAAGGAATTGTTTTCTCGGCGATGGACAAGTTTGGAGGCACCTTATTTCAATTTCAGCTTAGTTCTAACATCTGAGTCATTTTGGATTTTGATTTCTTCCTTGATGCCTGAGTGTTTTATTTCAGTTTCCAATTGCTGGCTTTTCATGTATTAAAAATTCTTTATTACTGGCTTTTCATTTCATTGCACTGGGATCAGACATGCAGCTTACATGATACCAATTCTTAGAATTTTTTTGAGATTTATTTTATGACCCTTCACAGGATCAGTTTTTGTAAATGCTGCATATTTTAAAATGTTCAAAGGGAGTGTGCATTCTAAGGCACACTTGTGTATGCACACACGTAGTGAGTCAAACTCTTTGGTTGTGTTTTTAAATCCTCTGCCTTATTACTCATCTTTCATCTCCCTTGATCTTCCATCTACAGGGAGGAGGTGGGCACAGTGGCACAGCCCTCGCCTAGCATGCACAAGGACCTGGGTTCCAAAGGGGGAAAAAAACATTCTTTTTTTTTTTTTTAAAGAATTGTGCTAAATCCCTTCAATGATGGTGTATTTGTCCAAGTCTCTTTTGATCTACAGCAATCTTTGCTTCATGTATTTTTTAAAAATAATGTAACCTTTATTTTAGTTGTTGTTGTCGTGTTGTTTATGTGGTGCTAAGGATCAAACCCAGGGCCTCCCCGGTGCTAGGCGAGCACTCTACCACTGAGCTACAACCCCAGCCCTGCTTCGTATATTTTGATGCTATTTTACAGTTCAGGCTTCCTGGTAGATTGGGCCTTTTATGCAGTGACAACCTACATCCCTAATCTTGTTTGGGGTTGTGTGTCCTGCTTCATCTGGCTTTGTATAGTCATCCAGTTCCCTTTGATTGAGTATTTGGTAAGTTCCACCCATCTGTTTTCTGCCTTTCTGGTCCTCATGCTTCAAGTGTGTCCACTGTAAAGATGACAGAGTTGGGGGTTTCAAACCAACTTGATGGTTTCTGTCGGCAAGTAAATGGTTTGATGTATTCCGTTTGTTTTCGTCATCTTTTCTACAGATTGTACTTCTTGTGCTCTTTGTCTGCTTCTGGTTTTTTTAATACTTGAGGGATTCGTTTTCTAAACTCGTTCTTGTAACTGCCCTTTCTTTCTTTTTCTTCCGGTTTGGAAATGATACAATACTTCCATTGTTTTAGCGGCTATTCCTATAATTAATTAATTTAATTAATCTAAACCCTTTCCCTGATTAACACAAGGAATTTAGAACAACCACCTAATCATCCCTCTCTCAAATTACATGTTTCTCTTTTCCAACTTTTTAGTTCTGTTCTTTCTTTCTTCTTTTTCTTTTTTCTGATGCCACAAAATTCGAGATTATTGTTTATTTTTTTCCTTATACATAATATATTCAAATTCTTTATTCATTATTTTGTCTTAAAAATTAGACCTTCCTTCCAGTAAATTTCTTTCTTCTCAAATCCCTTTATTCAGAAGGGACAATTAATAGAGCAGTAAACACTCTCAGTATTGTTCTTCTGAAAGGTGTCTTTGTTTACCCTTGTTCTTGAAGGATATTTCAGTAGATATACAAATTGGAGTTGATGATCCTTTTCTCTTTTTCTTGTCTTTGATGTTCCGTAGACTCCAGTGTTAGTTTCTTTTCATTAACCCTGTGGTGTGCTCACTGGGATTCCTGATGCCAGAGGTTTGCTGTCTTTTATAATTTCCAAAAATGTTACCGGATGTTTTTTCCTTTACCTCTTCATTCTCTTCTACCTTTTCTTTTCTTTCCTTTCCTTCTGGAAGACATTAGTTAATCCTTCTCAATATATCTCTTCTGTCTTCTAGCCCCTTTTTTCTTAGTGTTCAGGCCCTTCTCTTCCTTTTCTGAATGTGGTATAATTCCTATACATCTAACTTCCAGTTGACTAATCTCCTTTTCAACTGTGTCTAATCTGCTCCATAATCCAGTCACTATATTTTTATTTCAACAATTTTTTATATTTCTTAAAGTTCTACTTGATTCTTTTTAAAATCTGATTGGTCATTTTTATAGGCTAAGGTTGTTTGCTTATTTTTTTTTTAATTTCGCATTTCACTTTGTTAAACATTTCATACATATTATTATGTGTTTTGTAATAAATAATTCCATTATCTGATGGTCTTGGGATATAAACTTCTTGTTTCTGCTCACTCTTACTCTGCAGTGGGTTGCTTACTTGTATACTTGGTGATCTCTAATTGAGAACTCATTTTTGTTTGATCTGATCTGTGAAAACATTGGAATCTAAAATGATAATGCTTTCCTCAAGAGTGTTCATATTGGCTTATCTCAGGAGCCAAGAAGCACCAGCAACCTAAGACCACCCCATCCCCTATTCACCCAACCTGATGCCACAGGCAAGGCTGACACTGACTTTGCCCTTAGGACGGTTTCCACAGGTCCCACTTCCATGCACTTTTGGGGTCCAGGGAACTCGAGGCTTCCCTGCTTTATGAAAAAGTGTCATTAAGTCAAGTCTGGTTTGCACAAAGGAGAAGTTCCTCTGAGGATTCAGATGGCTGAATTGCAGAGGCAGAGGGCTGATTTATGGCCCTTAAAGACCATGCTTGCAGCTCCGTGGAGAATGATTGCAGGCACAGAGTTGCCTGGCAGGCAGCAAGAGGCCATGATCAGAATGACAGGTGCCCAAGGCAGAGTGGTGGTGTTGAGAATAAACCATGGCAGTGGAGTAACCTAGTCATTAATACGTGTCCCTTGTTCATTTGTAGGCACACATACACACACAAAAAAAGTGTGATTAACCACAAATCTTTATTAATTTTGAATTTCTCTTATAGTTTTTCATCTGTTAAACTTGCAAAAATGAACATATCCTATTTTATTTCTGATAATATCTAGTGTGACCAAAAAGGTAAATACACAGGTACTCTCGCACATCATTGATAAGTTGAAACATTTTTTTTTGAGGATGGTTTTGGTCAAATGTACTGACATGCTAAATGCACATTCAGCCTCTCTGTTAGAAACATCTTCATTAAACACACAAAATTTACACAAAGATATAATAGCAAAAAATCAGAGAAGGAGAAGGAGGAGATGGAGGGAAAGGGGAAGGATCACAACCTCAATAGCCATCGACAGAGCAAAGGCTAACTAGATCCTAAATCAAGCTTCCTTGATATAATGGAGTATTGTTTTGTCTTTTCCAAAAAGAAATAAGTCTCAGGTGGAAAAAAAAAATCTCTGATAATTTAAGTGTAAAAAGCAAAATGCAGAACGATGTGTACAGAAAGATTGCATTCATAAAAATATTTTAATAGCCAAATAAAAAACATACACATTTATATGCAGACATCGGCATGAAACCATTTTCTGGGAGGATGCACAAGAAACTGTGAAAATGATTCACTTTGGAGGAAGCAACCAGGGCTTCAGGGTAGGATGCGCCTCGCACTTTTCATTTTACACCTTTTTATACATTTTGAAAATTCCACTGCGAGCCACGTCCTGCTTTTGTCTGAGTAGTGGAGCCTGTTTTTATTGGACTCTCGCTGATTAGGGCACCTGCTTCCCCGGGTTATTACAGCCACTGCTTCTGCCTCCTCATCCTGGCCGGTTCCTTCTCGCTTACCATGAATATGCATCAGACCCTCTGGTCTTAAAAAAAATCAACCTTCCGCAAAGATCTCTAAAATCTATTATGAAGTTAAAACAATAGATTTCAAATAATGCATACAGGTTAATCCCATTTTTCTAAAAAATACAGAATAAATACACTTTATATGTGTATGAAAAGAAGAAGAGCCTAGAGAGATTTATTCATTCATTCAACAAAAACATATTGCCTGCCTCTCGAGGATGGGGCGTTGTTGCAGAGACAGAGTCTAGAGGAGACCCGAGTCCCTATTCTGTGCCCCTTGGAGTCCTGGGGCCCAGAATCTAGAAGGGATGAACACCAGCAGGTGGTACAATCCACTCTGAAGGAGGTGACCTTGAAATCAAATCATCTTAGTGCTTTTCTGTATTTTCTGATTTAATTTTGTCACCCTGCGTATGGTCTTAGAGAATCTATGCAAAAATAGTAATTGGACCATTAAACACAATCTCTCTCTCACACCATCCCTCTACTTGGACCTCTCTTCTCTGTCCACGGACACATTTCTACCCTCACCTATGCAAAATCTGGGATGCAGTGGTAGTAAAATATACTTGATTGTGTATCTGGCTGTCAGACTGAGCCAGGCATCCTGCCTTTTACCTGCAGTCCTACTTACAGTCTTACTTACAGTCCTACTTGCAGTCCCACTTCCTTGCTCTCCAGCTCCTGCCCCTCAGAGAGCCCTCCTCAGTCCCCTGGCCTTCCCTGCAGAGCTGTGGTCCTGGGGATGCTGTCACCATCTGTGTGTGTGCGCGATGGGCAAGGGTCTGGCCCCAGCCAGCACCTTCCCTGGGTGCTCAAAGAGCAAGCCCCTAGAACAGCACTCCCCAGACCCCCACCGCAGGGATGGCACCCCATCTTCCCCACCCCAGGCCTGGGGCTCGTACCGCACCACGAGCTCCCCCCACAGGCGCTTTCCTGTCCACACCCCACTGCCTCAACCTGGCCTCCTCAGGACTTGAAGTGTCCCCACAGGACCTCCTTCCCCCCCGCTGGCCACCCGCATCCAGGTACCACGTCATCCTCTACACAACAGGGGCCTGAGAGCCTTGGCCCCCGACCGCCTGCGGCTGTGGGCCACCGCCAATTTGGTCACCTCTGATAGCTGCTGTCCTATAATTGAGTCAGCATTTCTCTTGAAATCAACTAACTCATTTTCACTTATTTTTAAAAAATAATCTATCCCTCTATGTCTTAGTGTCATCCTAACACCATCCCAGACTTGATGTGTCAGATATTGAATTGAGTCAAAATAGACATGAAACTAATCAAACATAAGACGTCCATCAGGCCCCCCTGGAATAGCAGGCTCCCCCCAGGAGGCACAATGCTCTTTGCAGTGCACCGGTTTTGAGAACACAGTGATCTCACCCGTCACACACAGTACTGACCCCTGGAGCGGTGGCCGTGCCTTCCGGCAGCTTGGACGGCCCCCTGCCTCTGCCTCTCTCCCCACAGCCTCCCCCAGGCCGCCGGGCCCAGGACTAATTACATCCTCTCCATCTCTGTGCTTCACACCTCTCGGCCACCTTCGCAGCTCTGCCCCAGCGCCCATTACGCACAGCTACATCTGTCAGGCGGCTTCTGTTCTTGCAAGACCCTCAAGGAACATGTAGACTGTGAGAGCCCTCCAAGGCCCCTCCTTCTCCAGTTCCCTCGGGCAAACTGGGCCAGCACCAGGCAGAACACATGGCTGTTCCAGGCCTAGCTTGGAAGGTCAGACCCAGAGCACTGGAAGAAAAATCTTTACAGTCCTGTGCTTGGACACATAGTAGGTGCTCAATAAACGTCACGCAAAGATCAGGGGCTGTGATTCCTGGAGGAAAGAGGCTGGGGTTTATGGCTACCCAAGGTGGCTTCGAGTTTGGGCTTTTCTACACAGAGTTGCATGGGAGAAGCAAGTAACTGGCGGGCTCTCTCCTGAGCCTCTGTTTTCTGGGGTCGTAACAGTGCCCACCCTAAATGTTTGTTATGAAGACAATAAACCCTAAATGTCTATTATGAAGAACACCTAAACATAGGCTGTGCAAACGCTAGAACTTTCCAGAAATGCATGCCTTTTTACCATAGTGGTAACCATGATGCCCTTGGTGACTAATCCACTGTGGTCACCCAGTTGGCGCCAAGCTTCCCTTTTGTGAGTGGAGACCCTCTTCTCCAGGAAGACAGCAGAGCTGGCTCAGGGTCACAGGGGAAGGCAAGAGAGACAAGCCTGTTTATTTGACATTCAGGAAGCCAACTCATTCTCCCGCGCCTCCTCTGCAACACTTAAGCCAATATTTGCGTCTTTGGGATCCTATTTGTATGGTAATTCACAAAAATAGGGTTTGGACTTTGCAGCCCACCTTCCTCCCGAAATTCGGGAAGCACATTAATTTCCTAGATGGTAAAATAATGCCGTAATTAAGTATCACCGTTTCTCTTCAAATCTGGGACCTTCTCACAAAATGGGTTTTTCGAAACGCGGTGTAGGTTTTCCCGGGAAACGGCACTCGGGGGAAATGCCTTATTTCCCTTGTATGAAGGAGACCACGGACTTCATCTCCACACGATGGAGGAAAAATTGATTTGTTAAATGACAATCTTCCTCGTGCACCTCTCTCTCCGGGCTCCCGTCGGCGCCCCAGGCCCCGCGCCACCGGCTGAGAGGCCGCCGAGAGGCCTCGAGGTCCTTTGTCCTCCGCTGACCACGCCTCCCAGGTCCCCTCCGCCGTGCTCCCCGCAGGAGACAACTGGGCGACTTCGTCACCGCTGCCCTTCGGCCTCAACACCCTGCTCTACGCGAGTGGACACGAAGATCCCGCACGTGGACGAGAGCTGGGCCCAGCGCGGGCCTTCGAGGGCTCGCTCTTCCCGAAGACCGCGCGGAGGCCGGGAGGCGGGTGGCCCGGGCCGGGGGGCCGAGGCCGGTGGAGCCGCCGGGATTCGCCGGGCTCCCAGGCGCCCCAACCGAAGCTCAAGAGGGCCCCCGTGTGGAGAGTCCCGGGAACAGCCCGGCCAGTGTGTGCTTCCCCCAGCGCTGGGGTGCCGCCCTGCACCTCCAGGATCCCCGACCCACACACCCACGGGCACCTCCAGCTTGCGGCCATCGCTCCGCCAAACCCGACTGTTTCTGGTGGACGAGACGGTGGTGGGCCCGTCCTGCGAAGACCTCGTGGACGACCATTTCGCAAGGCTCCGTGAAGAGCTAAGCTCTTGTGGTGCCTCTAAGAGGCCTCCTTTCCAGGGTTTCCGGGGTTCCGTGGGGTCCGTCTGTCACGATTCATACAGACGTCTTCTTTCTTATTGAGTACGTCCAAACCTTCTGATTATCTTGCCAAATTCCTGTTCTGGAGAACAATGGAAGCTTCAGACTTCTGCCAAAAGAGCTAATAAGGATTCCATCCAAGGAGAGACTTCTAGACCAGGTTCTGTTTAGCAAACCTTGACCTGTGACTACACCCCTCAGGGCAGTCCCCATTGTGCAACCAGACCTACCACTACAAGAGCTCGCTTGAGCCCCCTGGGCCTGGGCCTCCTCACAGCCCAGGGCGGAAGTGTGGTGTCCTTGGAGAGCCCTGGCCAAATTTGGTACAGATTATAAATGTCTGCAGACCGTGTGCAGATCTGGGAACACAGGTGCTGAAGCTGGGCTAACGAGGCCTTGTCTCCAAGACACCAGAACATCTGGGTGAAGGGGGAAATGCGCCCATCAATCACTCTGATGTCTTGGCTGTTGGGAAACAGCTGGGCTTTGGCTGGAATTTTCCAGTTTTCATCTGGGTGGAAGCCCCAGCCAGAGCGAGAGTAATTAGCATTACCATGGGGCTGAGGAAGGATTCTGATGTGAATGGTTTTTGTACTGGAACCTTCCTAAACAAACAAACAGAAAAACCTGGCTGATGAGCTGGCGTGCTAAGCCAAATCTGGTCTCCCCAAGCCCCCCATTCCTTTCCCACTCAGGCAGCCATATGCTTCCTTCCCTAAGCAGAGATGCTAAACACAGGCCACAGGGAGGTGTCCTCAGCGGCCAGCTGCTCCCCTTTACAAGACACTTTCAGCTTATATTAGGCACAGGAGTGCACAAAGGCCCACCTTTGCCACCATAGCCTGGGTCCGGCTCACCCCGGGATTGGTCTTAAGAACTGGAGGACAGTGAGGAACATACCATGTCCCCTCGACCACCTTTCCATGCACAACTTCTCAATCTGAAGCCCACCCTCCTGCTTCTTTTCAGCTGCCTGGTCCTTCCCAAGTTCCTCAGGGCAAGGGCCAACTCTCTGAGGTCACCCTGCAGAGGAAGGCACATTCCAAAGACCTGGGAGGCTGCCGGGAGCGGGAGCGGGGAGTGGAACATGCTTTTTCTAGAACACACCATTTCTGAGTTTCCCACGGTTGCAGAGTCCACCATGGGACATGTGAGGTGTCTGCAGGCCAGCCACCCACAATAGGGGGCCTGGCTCCTTAGAATTCCAAGGTTGTCGTCATAATTGCAGTGATTTGCTGGGACTGTCTTAGTGTGCCAATCCGTAACTTCTCAGGGGACTTTCAGTGGAAACTTTGTGCTTTCATGCAGTGACTTGATTGCAAAGCACATCTTTTGCTGTAGCAACCCAGTGACGGCTGCCATTTCAACAGACGCTTTCTGAAGCCTGCTGGCCAAGCGGCCAGCACATCTCAGTGTGTGGAAGGCAGGCCCCTCTAATCAAGAGAGCTCATTGTTTGGGTGGATCTGTTGCTGACATTTTTATTTAAAATGTGGACAAGCTTCCAAATCCAAACATTTTAGGTGAATTACCTCAAGCTGAGGGATTTGAAATAAACCAGAATGTTCCAGATTTTTTTTTTTTAAGCAAACACATTTTTTAAAGCAAATGTTGATCAGAATCCTAGTGTATTCATCTGAGCAAAGAGTGGGGCTGCTTAGGCCAAAGCTGAGCCTGGGAAATTAGGCCTCACTCACAGAGTCTCCCCTCTGTCCCAAAGACAACCTCAGGGGTCATCAGAAACCAACCTGAAAACTTCCAATGCTGCACCCCACGGACCACACACTCCCTTTTCCAAGCTGTAGCTCTGACCCTCATGTAGGCCACCTGAGCACCTGAAATGTGTTCAGTCTAGATTGAGCAGAGCTGTGAGTGTAAATTGTACAATGAATTTTGAAGGCTTGGTGTGAAAGAACAGCAAATAAAACATCTCATTCATAGTTTCTGTATGTGTTGCATATTATAATAGAATATTTAGGGCTGAGTAAAATATCTGTTCAACATGACCACCACCTAAGCACATTCAGTATGAGGTATTAGGTATTAGGCACAGGAGTTCACAAAGGCCCACCTTGGCCACCGAAGCCTGGGTCCAGAAAACATCATGCAGTAAAACCACACCCATGGCTTACATTTATGGCTTGAGTTCAGCTTCTCTTGGGCCATGTTGCAGAGCTGGGGAAACCTTACCTGGAAGGGCTAGGATCATGTCCGGCTGTTTTAGCTGGCAGGTTCCCAGGATAAGTAGTTGCCTTCCACAAAGCACCCACTTTAGAGTCTTAGGCTGACCCCAGTCCATCTAAGCTCTTGACAAGGCTTGCTCTTGAATCTCCCTTCTTGTCCCTCTCTACTTGCTCAGATCAGTCCAGACCACCAGCCTTCTGGGTATTCTTTTGACAAGCAGCCAGATTCTTATCAATCCCAGCAACTGCACCCTCCTGCCTGGCCCTAAAGCCATGTCATGAAGGAGCCTCACCTGCACTCCTGCACTGCGTGTCCTTCCTCCATTTAGCTCAAAGTGGGCACATGTGAAGGCGTGGCTCTAAGAACTTTCCGTGACTTAACAAATACTTATCAAGTGTCAGTCAGGCACCGGGCTTGGTGGGGCATAATCGGTGAGCAAGAAAGGCCCATCTTAAACAGAGCAGACACACTGGTGCGGAAACATGGAGGGAAGAAGGGAGGAAAGAGAGAAGGGAGGTAGGAGGGAGGGAAGGAAGAAAGGAGAGAAGGCAGGAATGAGAAAAGAAAGAAGAGACAGAGAACACTGAATGGCTGGAGTGGCACCCCACCATTAGTGAGCACCCTGCACCCAGATTGTGGTCTCTAAACACCACTTTCCAATAAATGAGCCAGAGCTTCCTGGAGAAATGGCTGATTCCAGGACCAGGGCTGAAAAAACACAAAATGAGCCTGGGAAATCACCTCGCACCTGGAAATAAGGAACTGTTCAAAACAAGAATATGTAGAAAGGATACAGGAGATGAGTGGGAAGTGCTCTCAGTGGCCATCTCAGGGACAATTTGAGCAAAACAAAATATCCATAGTAATGGATTATCACCTATAAGCAAAATAAATATCTAACAGTTTGTACTACTAGAAGTAACACTGGAATGATGGATGGATGGTGGGGAAAAGATAGCAAATTGCGGTAGGCAAGAATCATCAATGGTCACCAATAGATGATCAAATGTTAGAGGCATAAATAATGCAAAAGGACATGTTCTCATCATCTCTAGTTAGAACCTCAGAAGATGATTATTAATTGCAACAGGAAAGATGATAATTTAACAGTGAATGAACTTGGTAGGCACTTCCATGAGATAGTGATCACAGTGAACAACACCAGAAAAAGGTGGATTGACAAGAGGGACCTCCTGAAATAATGAACCTACAAGGGTCAACATCACTTAGACTTCTCGATTACCAAAAATGCATTTGATGTATTTGACCATGAGGACACATCAGGCTGTCCCAGACTAAGGAACATATTATGAAATAACCGGCCAGTGCTCTTTAAAAGTTTCAAATTCATGAAAGACAAAGACATGTCACTGATTGAAGGAGACATGACAACTAAATGCCCTGTTGGACCCTGGATGGCCTCCTGGGCCAGCAAGGTGGGGGTGAGCCTTGAATCAGTTGTGGATTTGCTCATAACATTGCACCCGTGCTAACTTCCTGATTTTTGACCTTTGTTGGATGTCTGTGTCAGATGTCGACCTTCAGAGCGGCTGGGCAAAGGGTATAACACTCTCTACTCCTTTTGCAACATTTTTGTAAGTCTGAAATTATTTCAAAACAGAAAAGTCAAAAAATAAAAGTAAACAAAAAAACTGAAAGCAGATCAATAATTGCCAGATGTGCACACTGCACAGGAGAGCGGGGTGGAGCAGAGCAGGAGAGAAATGCAGAGGGCCATTTGCCAGGAAATGCTCGGGAAGCGGAAGGAGCACCCAGTGCTTGGCAGAGGGAGTCCCCAGGTCATCTCTGGGAAGCCATAGGGAAGGCTCTCAGCAGTGCCCCATGGATGACAAGAAAGACAGGAGGTAACTGATTCCAAAGGGCCTACTAGGCTCTTGGGAAAGCTTGAATGGGACTCCAGGTGCGCTGGGAACCACAGAAGTTTGGGGTTATTGCATGATTCTCCTTCAAGACCCTCAGATGGTGTGAGACGGTATCCCACAATGGGCCTATTTAATGTCCGCTTCCCTATCGGAATAAGAGTTCTGGCCCTTGTGGGCAGCCTTATAAATCCAGAGCCTGTCAGGTACCAGGAAAACCAGAGGTAGGTGTGCAGTGTGTGAGCAGAGGGGTGAGGGAAAGCAGGCGAGGTGACGGGAGGGTCCCCGTCTTTAGATGGCCCTCCCTAGCTGTGGTGGGGGTTGAGCTTGAACAAAAAAGACGTGTTTAAGACCTGACCCCCCACCTCCCCAGAGTGTGGCCTTATGTGGAAACCGGGTCTTTGCAGAGGCGATCAAGGTAGAACGAGGTCGTGCTGAACCCTTGGGTCTGATCAGTGAGTGGTGCCTTTTCATGAGAAAGGAGAGGGAGACTGGAGATGGAGATGTGGACAGGAGGAGACACACACAGCCGAGAAGACAGGCGGAGACCAGACGGAGGTGCCACCCAGAGCTGGGAGAGGCGGGAAGCACCCTCCCCAGGCAGCCGTGGAGGGAGGGCGGCCCTGCCCGCGTGGGTTTCAGAACTTAGACTTGCACACACCAGGCCAGAGAGGAGAAATTCCTATTGTTTACACCAGTTTGTGGTCATTTGTCACAGTAGCTCCAGGAACTCATATGCTGTCCTGTGCTCTCCTGGGAAGTAAGGGCTACTCCCTCGGCTGGCTCCCTCTTCCTCTGCGCTGCCCTCAGGCTGCTTCCCACATCCACCACTCACACATTGATTTATGAAATGTTTTTTTTTTTACTTAAATTTTTTTATTGGTTGTTCAAAAGATTACAAAGCTCTTGACATATCATATTTCATACATTCGATTCAAGTGGGTTATGAACTCCCATTTTTACCCCAAATACAGATTGCAGAATCACGTCGGTTACACATCCACATTTTTACATAATGCCCTATTAGTAACTGTTGTATTCTGCTACCTTTCCTATCCTCTACTATCCCCCTCCCCTCCCCTCCCATCTTCTCTCTCTACCCTATCTGTTGTAATTTAATTCTTTCCCTTGTTTTTTTTTCCCCATTTCCCTCACAACCTCTTATATGTAATTTTGTATAACAATGAGGGTCTCCTTCCATTTCCATGCAATTTCCCTTTTCTCTTCCTTTCCCTCCCACCTCATGTCTCTGTTTAAAGTTGATCTTTTCCTCCTGCTCTTCCTCCCTGCTCTGTTCTTAGTTGCTCTCATTATATGAAAGAAGACACTTGGCATTTGTTTTTTAGGGATTGGCTAGCTTCACTTAGCATAATCTGCTCTAGTGCCATCCATTTCCCTGCAAATTCCATGAT